TTTTTTCCTCACTGGTTTTCTGCCTTTTTTTGATTGTGGTCACGTGCTCTTCGCTACGGACCGCAAAAGTCAAAACTGTCCAACAATGTCTCTCATAAACCGAACTATCACTATCACCGGGGAGGGAATAGAACAGCACAGAACAACTTACTTACCCAGTACGATTTTTTCATTCGCATCCGGTGGCAATGTGAACACAAGCAGCGCCATCACAGACATGATCATACAGGGCACAATGATGTTGAACATGTAGTAGAGAGCACGGCGTTGCATATGCACTTCGATGGTCACGTCAATATAGGTCTGATCGACTCCACCGTAGGTATCCGCATTCCGCCGAACGGTGGCACCTGAACAAAAGCGACCGGATTTTGGTGTGTCGGGGGGTGAGTGGGTGGATAGAAGAGAACCATAAACTTGTTTGGATTGTTGTTGTTGTTGTTCTTTTTCTTATTATGTCATTTTAAAGGTGTACTATATCTACACGCCCACCCAGAATGGATTCATGTGACGAGTTTGAGCCTATATCAGAGAATCGTTTGGCTGTGGGCGGTGGTGACCAAAAAGGTTAGGTCACCATCTAGTGACTCGGGGTGTCCCGGGTTCAAACCGCTTCACCGCCACCGTCCGTCTTCCCGATATATCTGTATTTCTATGGCCGCAGCCCCCTTCCTAAAAGTTGGCTGTACATTTGTACATTTAATAAATAGAATAAGGAAGTAAAAAGACATTTTTTGGGGGGGCAGTGAAATGTCTGGGTATTTTAAATGAATTTCCTAAATGAGGTTTCTTTTAGAGAACTTGTATGTGCTCAGTCGTTAAATAGAAAGGCTAAAACGAATTGGTCAAACCCGATGTGCGTGTAGCTTATCCGGAGTGCATTTGAGACCTCAACGTGAGGTGTGCTCAATTGCCTTCTGCAAGCAAACAAAAGTTTACAGTAAGTTAATGGTACTGTAAGTCAAGCAACAACAACAACAAATTCAGTATTGGATTTCGCAAGAACGGGTCGTATGTGGCAAGATATTGCGCAGCTTATCACATTCCGACTTGTCTGGTAATATGCACCGATTTGTATCAGTCCATGTGACTATATGTATGAAGCTACTGAATTCGGTTTTAAGCGAGTTTGTCAAATTATTTTCAATAAACAAACACAGACTGCAAGCTGTCTGACAGAATTAACCGGTTTTACGGGCTATCTGAATTCCCGGCTTATTAACGTTCAGTCAACTTAGGCATGATTGTAACCGGTTAGAAATGTAGGCTCAACCGCATGACACTTTGTTCAAAACTTTATAAAATTCCGTGTTTGATTTTTGTCAATGTACGGATTGATATGGGTCTATTCTACTTTATAGATCGATCATTATTCGAATCGAATCGCCTCGGTTGTCCCGAGAAGATCGGAAATAAAAGAAGAAGCCAAAGACGGAAGTGTACCGGGTTCTTTTTCGGGAACATGTTGTGCGAACATGGTCATGACTAATTTTTGAATCACTTATGCCCAAAGATGGTGACAGTTGTTTCATTTCGTCAAGCGTTTATTTAGGACGGAGAATCGCACTGACCTTAAAATCGAGCGTGACTGACAGTTTGAAAATTATATCCGCTCGTTCCTTGTTGGCCTGCGTCCCACACTGCCCTCGGCTGACCCAAGCTAGACACATGTGTTCCCAAAAATGTGATAATGATGTTGTCCGTGGCAGTAAACAAACGAATTTATTTTCTTTAAACAGTATCATTTTCTGAGAGAAGAATCACCACAAACACACCCGAACTGCCCTCAGAATGTCATCCTATAACATCATGAGTCACTTGGTGTGTTGTGTCCAGTCAATCGGGACTGGAGCTCGTAACATCACGTTTTGGTTCTGCCTGTAACTAAGCACGATAACACATCACATTTTCAATCCGTTTAGGGTCGCGCATAGCACACAAACCGGTAGGCCTTGGCACACGATGATCACAAGTGTGTCAAATCTATCAAGCGCGGAAGTTCAAAATCAGTCGTATCGATTGGGCAACGTTAAACACAACGTGACGATCGATATAATGACTGGAGGGAAATTGGAAACAATGAATGGTTTGGAACGGAAGTAGAGCATGTTTAGTCCAGCTAAACGTAATGCACTTCTTCAAGGGGGTAAGTAAATAAGGCTTACTTTCAAGTGCCCATTCACTGTGAGCCAAATAGGTAGACAAATCCACCTCGTTCATGATATTGCAATCCTGTTCTTCCTCGGTCTCCTCATCACACTGAAGTTTCAGGTCCACTTTGTTTCCCTGATATGTCCATGTGCCCAGCTTGAGGGTGCAGTTCTGAAAAAATAAAGGGATAACATTGTCGTAGGGCGTTCAACATGGATTGGTAATGCACATTTTAAGACGATCCGACAGGCAAAGTCTCACTGACCGGTCACTGTAAGTCCAACCTGTACAAAGCTATGTATCCGGATTTGTCGATGTGTGTTCCGCACCGTCTACTTGCCAGACCCTGATATCTTGTAAACAGACTTCACAGTTTTCTACTGGAATCTTGGAATCATCCGTTTTGATTGTCTCGTCTAAATGAACAATTCGATCATGAACCGTAGGTTTTACTACAAGTGTTTCAATTTTTTTCATTGTATTCTTGTGAGATTTCTGTTTAAGCTTATCAATTATGATAAAAACTCCATTCGGAATTGAGTAGTCCATTGGCAATCTGATTAAATTCTTGATATATTATCCACAGTAAATATTTCTTCAGTCCAGAAATGCTTTGGATACAATATATTCAACTATCTCATCCAGTACAACATTTGGACCGAATCCATTTGGACTCTAACCTTGGCGCGACGACTAAATGATTTACTTCAACACCCACTAACCCCAAATTTATTTGCTCTAGTCTTTATACAATGTGTCAGGTAGTCTTCAGAGGAAACGGTAACAAATGCCGAGCACTTGATAAACAAATTCAATAATCCTTATGATAATCTTACTAAAAAATCAAAATCAATACCTCAAATGCTTTCCAATCAAGGAATATGCTCATTGATGGAACCGGAATACAACCTAGATGCCTAGGTGTTTCTGTCTACAGGGAGAAAACAGCTCAGACTGATCAAGGCACAAATTTCCAGTTTACCTCCTCTCTTCCAGGAACTCACTCCCCGGGTTATCGCTTTTCCCACACAGATCAATATCAATGGGATATCATTGATGCAGTGAAAGTTATCCACAGTGCTGTTGAATTAACAGATGTGCTATCCACTTCAACAGACACTTGATGTGACAATCAAACTAAACCGCCGTTGATGATGACTTGTGATTTACTGATGTTTGAATTGAGCGCCCATAGACTGCGAACCCACGCGTGGAAACGTTCACACATATGCTGAACGTCACACACACACACACACACACCTCCAGTCAGCAACCGTTTCAACCGTGGGTTTCATCCGGATGGATTTTCATTGATTGTCTAGAGAAAATCCGACTTGGGCAGACAGTTTATATGTTGATTATTAGATTATCTAAGCCTCTGAAAGTTGGGTTTGCAGTGGAAAACGAACAGAACAGAACAGAACAGAACAGAGCGTTCGGTGTGAAGTCAATTTTCAATTGGAGTGGGGAATCATCAAAAGGAGCAAATGAAGAGAATACCTGAGAGTCGAACGGGAAAAGAGCCACTTCGAT